ATAGCCTCACTGGCTAGACATCAATAACCATCCCCGATCATACCGATTATACTTCTTCGAACTTCAGTGAACTAGTTGCCCCCCAGCCTAGAACATCATCCATTGAGAAAAACCATAGGCAAAAATGTAAAATGTTGCCACCCCAGATGTTTGATCACACACAAAATAAATCCAAACACCAATATATCAATCCATACTCATCACGTAGTTACGATGAAACTCAAAATCTCCCACGTAAGGTGCTTTCGTGAGAAAGTCAGCATGTATTTACGCCGATTCCACGTGAAAAATCGATATCTCCTTCCTGCCTACCAGTTCCCTGATAAAGTGGTGCCCTACGTCGATGTGCTTCGAGTTACTGTTACTTATCAGGTTTTGCGCCAACTGAATAGCCCCCTGGTTATCCTCGAACACAGGAATACACGGCATGCCTGCTTCTGGTAACATGAAACGCCACACCTGCCTCAGAAATATCACTTCCTTCATCACATCCGCAAGAGAGACATACTCCGCCTCTGTCGTGCTCAACGTGACGCACTTCTGGGTCCTTGAAAACCAAGAAATACATCCCCCCCCACACATCACCAATCCCCCTGACACAGACCTCCTATCGGCAGCCTTACTTGCATAGTCTGCGTCTACGAACACCTCCATGCTTAATCCTGCTACACTACCCCTCCTGAATGTAATACCCAAGTCACTAGTCCTTACCACATACCCCAAAATACCAAGCCCTGCTCTCCAATGAATCTCTTTTGGAGAGGCACAGTACCGTGCCACCGCTCTTACTGCATTCGCGATATCTGGCCTCGTTTGCGTTGCCAGCCACATCAATGACCCGATCAGCTCACGAAAACGCCATGATACCACTTCCTCATCCTGATCAAACTCTGAAAGCTTCAACCCTACAGGAAGAGGAATTTCCTTCCCGTACTCTACCCCAAACTCCATCCCCAACTCTTCAGCGTACGTCTGCTGCGAGATCTTCAAAGTTCCTGCATCCCAATCTCTCTCATAAAAACATCCAGAGTACCATCTCAAATCCCCAAGATTCTTCACAGGTACCATGGTGTTGAGGTCCCTGCCAAACTGGTCACACCTCTCCTCCTCTCCTATCGAAAATATATCATCTACATGTACCACCAGAGTCACTACCACTCTTCCCTCCTCAATCAACCGAAACACACACGTATCCGCCATACACTGAATAAAACCCAAACAAATCAAACACCTCGCCAAGTGTGAGTGCCACTGCCTTGATGCCTGCTTAAGGCCATATAGACTCTTGTTCAACTTCACGATCATACCTGATAATCTACCACACCCCTCTGGCAGACGCATAAAAACATCCTCATCCAAATCCGACTGGACAAATGCCTGCTTGATGTCAAAATGACGGAGAGAAAGATTTTGCTCACACGCCATCGCTGCCAACAAGCGAACGCTAGAAACCGCTACAGTCGGTGCATACGTCTCTCCACAATCTACATGTACTCGCTGCATATCTCCTCTCGCTACTAGCCGTGATTTCACATTGGTTGGCCATCCATACTCATCAGATTTCCAATCAAACACCCACTTCGCCTTGATAACACTTTCTGGTTGCTACATTACTTCCTCAAAGGTACCAGCCTCCATCAGGCCTCTGAACTCCTTCTCTACAGAGTGTATCCACAAGTCAGCATGTTGAGAGGACACAGCCTCCCTATACGTTTTGGGTACGCGCAAGTCGCTCGCATAGCACTGTGGCAAGTCCGGTGCCACTTCCGGGGGATCTAATTCCATCATCGCGCGATCAATGTCCTCGCGGGAGGCAAGCAAGGTGGCGAACGCAAATGGGACTTCTTCACCCAGTCCTTCTTTTTTCGTGCCCCTCCGCTCTTGCCCCCCCGGCTCCGCTCCATCACGTCCTCCGGCTGAACTCGGGATATCCTTCCTCCCCCCATCGACGATGCTGCGAGTGGTTAGAGTCGACAGGAGCGTTGCCTTGTCCTGCAGGGAAACAAGACCGAAGCGGTGGGCGAGAGCGTCGCCGCTCCCGCCAGGTGACGTCGACCGCTCGGCCCCCCCATCCTGGAAACGCACCCGCCGACCCCTCAACCTCCCTGGCACCCGCGTCTCTCGTCCCAAGTCCAGCTCTCGATTGGCCCTGGCAGAGAGGGGCGGCATTGACGACGCACGCCCCCCCCCCTGGTCCTTAGCGGCTGCCCTCGTGCGCCCAGAAACCCTCATGTCGCCGCGCCCCACGTCCAGTTCACGGATGGTCCTCGTAGTGAGCGGCGGCATGTTGGTGGAAGGCGCGGCACCGGGCGGCACGGCGGCGGGAGACGGTATTACTGACGGTGCAGCGGCGGTGGTGAACGGTGAGGCCGGAGGCGAGGCGGCAGTGGTGAACGGTGTCGCGGCGGCGAACGGCGGTGCAGGCGGCGCGGTGGTGGTGAACAGTGGCGCGGCGGCGAGCGGCGTTGCAGGCGGCGCGGTGGTGGTGAACGGTGGCGCGGCGGCGAGGGGCGTTGCAGGCGGCGCGGTGGTGGTGAATGGTGGCGCGGCGGCGAACGGCGGTGCCGGCGGCGCGGTGATGGTGAAAGGTGTCGCGGCGGCGAACGGCGGTGCCGGCGGCGTGGTGACGGGGAAAGGTGGCGCGGCGGCGAACGGTGGTGCCGGCGGCGCGGTGATGATAAAAGGTGGCGCTGGTGTGGCTGCGGTAGGCGGCGCCGCCGGCGATGGTGGTGTGGAAGTTGCCGGCGGCGCCTGTGAGAGTATGGCAGCGGGTGAAGTGGGAGGTCGGGCATACGGTGAGGGGGGTAAGAGAGGCGGTGAAATATACTCAATTAGAAACGGTGCGGCGGCGACATTCGAATCTCCCCCCTCGTCCGCCGGCGCCGGCAGCTCCAGCGGCGGGGTCAGCAACGGCGCGCGGTCGGAGACCCACACGACGTTGTTCGTCATGCACACGCGCCCCGTCGCGAACTTGAGGACCTTGACCGCCGACTCGTGATGGTTGTCGCCGTTGTTGAGGTAGCAGCACAGCACTGCCTGGGGATCCATCTTCCGCGCGCGCGTCACACGCATATACCTCGGCTGTAAGAAAGGGACGATCTGGAGCGGGGGCGGGCGACCGGTGAAGAGCTCGTGCGGCGACTTGTACCCGACGTTTGCCTTGGTCGGAGAACGGTTGAAGCCGCCGGCAGCCCAGTGACACGATTCTAGCCAGAGTCGCTCGCCATCGCGCCCGAAGCCGGGGACGCGGGTGAAGTCGATCTTGGGGAACAGGCGGGGTGCCTCGAGACGAGCGGCGTGGCCGGCCTTGTTCACGCGCCAGATCGCACTCTCCGCCGGACCATTTTGCTGCGGGGTGCCCGGCGCCGTGTACGTACGGCGGATGCCGGCGTTGTCACANGCTCGCCATCGTGCCCGAAGCCGGGGACGCGGGTGAAGTCGATCTTGGGAAACAGACGGGGTGCCTCGAGACGAGCGGCGTGGCCGGCCTTGTTCACGCGCCAGATCGCACTCTCCGCCGGACCATTCTGCTGCGGGGTGCCCGGCGCCGTGTACGTACGGCGGATGCCGGCGTTGTCACAGAAGGCGATGAAGTCGCGTCCGATGAACTCCCCCCCGTTGTCCATCCGGAAAGAGCGAGGGACACCGGTGCCACTCATGTCGGCGAGGAACTTCTTGACGAAGGCGAGGGTGTCCGACTTGCGCCTCATCCCGTACAGCTTCATCCACCGCGAGAAGCTGTTCACGAACATAATCATGAAAAACGAACCCCCCAGCGAGGCCGTCATCGGCCCACATAGATCGATGTGCCAAAGATCGTGCGGCCGCTCCGCGCGCGTGCCCAATTGGTGAGGCACGCCCGCCTTCTTCCCCTTCGCCTGCAGGCATCCACCACAAGGCTGCAGGACACCGGTCAGTCGGAGACCGTGCTGCTTCGCAAGCTCACGCAAAAGAAACTCATTGGCGTGGGAGGACGAAACATGGAGAAGGTTAACGTCAATAATCTTGGTGGGTTTCCCCACCGAAAAAGGGCGCTTGCCCGGGGCCATAACGGGAACGGCGAAAGCAACATCATCGAAGACATTGGCAAATCCAGACTCAAACATCAAGTCTAAAAACTCGTAGGGGTCATCCGATTCTTGCCTTTGTTCTAAGAGGTACAAAGCCCACTGGTAATTTCCCTGCTCTGTGAACGGAATAAATCCACGGTCATCATCCTCACTATTCTCTTGAAAAACGGTGACGTCCGGCGATGGCAACCCGGGAACAGCTACCAACTCCA